TCATTTGTATCAAATTAAAGAAGCAACATTGTTATGCACATAAATATACATTTAGAGACAAACCAATGGAAAACTACATTATCTACCACATTTTTAGCATAGTAATACAGAATCGTGTGCACTAAACAAAATTAGAATGAACTTTACTAACAGTACACTACAAGTGCATTAGGTACACCATTTGTACGCATTGTCGTGAAAGTTGGGGTGCACCTAAGCAATTGATGAACTGAGTTCTCGGTCAAAATACAAGTGCACTAAACATAACCAATTATGCATCATCGTAATACAGAATGGAGTGCACTATTCGAAATCAATTTGAAATTTACTAACACTAAACTAGAAGTGCATTATGTACGACATTTGTGTGAATCATCATGGAATTTGGAGTGCACCTAGGAAATTGATGAACTCAATTCTCGGTTAAAATAATTTCATAATTTCGCGTAGGTTTTTACATACATTCAAAGATACAATAAATTAAAAGTGCATTATGTAAGACATGTATGAGCATCATAAGACAGAATGGAGTGAACTAAACAAAACAAATTTGAAATTGACTAATAGTAAACTATAAGTGCATTACGTACAAAATTTGTATGCATCATCGCTCAAATTGGAGTGCAAGTAGACAATTGTTGAACCTAGTTCTCAGTCACAAATTTACTAGAATCTTACATACATTCCACCCATAGAAATAGAAAATACAAACACATCAGCCATTAAATTTTCACATTTATACAAACCCATTAAATCATAAACAATAACAAAAATGAAGAGGACACAAAGTATGTAAATAAAATGGCAAAATAACAAAGAACAGAGAATTGAAGCTAACTATTATCCATGGCTGGATTGCATATCAGGTGCGCTCACAAGGAAATACACCTCGTGTCTCGACAGGGATGATAGCTACAATGAAGAGTTCTTCACATAAACATGACTTAAACAAAACGTGCATTACATAACACATGTATCTACATCTAAATAAATCGTGTAGTGCAGTAAACAAAACATTGTTAAATATAATACAAATAAAGTAGAAGTGCATTACGTAAATACTTTTACAAATCACGATGCAAATTAGAGTGCATTGAATCAAATGTTGACCTGCATTCTTATAAAAAAAATTAAAAGAATTTCACACAAATTGACAAGGCAAATCAAACTAAAAGTGCACCAGACGATTGCATTCAAACTAATACGGAATGTATTGAACTAAACATATGCATTATGTAAAATACTAGTTTCATTCAAGGGGCAATACTAGTTTCATTCAACGTACAATACAGAAACAAAGAGCACATAACAACTATAAATCAAAATGACAACATAACAAAAAACAGAGGAGCGATGCTAACTGGTTTCCATGGCAGAATTGAAGCTTGAAACGGCTTGACAGGGACGAAGCGTGAAAGAATTTGGTTGAGAAGAAGCGCGAAAGAATTTGGTAAGGAAAGGAAAGAGAAAGAAGCCAAACATAGAACAATGATGGAAAGGAAAGAAATCTTGAAACAGTTATGGAAAGAACGTAAATGAAAAAAAACTTCGTACGTTATGCGCTACCTGAGAATCAAATGACGTGAATAGCCTTTACAGGGAGTAGCCGCATGTGAGAATTAGCACAAGATCGGACGGCTCTTCTTCATTCTTATTTCTTTCCTGAGATACTATTCTCATTTGAACCTAAATCTTATACAACATGATCATGTATTTGTTATCACTGTATATTAGTGAACCTTGGTTCATCTAAGTTATGCATTTGTTATCATCCCTTGTTACACTTCTTCCTAAATTTCTATTTCACTTCACCATAATTGAAGTGGTATATGATATTCCTTTTCATTTTAAATATGTCTACTTTGGGTCCCTGTGGCCGAAAATGTGCATTATGATTTATACAGCAAATTCATTGATTTATAAGCATTGTATATCAATGAATTTGCTTTCATGTAATTGATGCATTATTTATGATTAACTGTTGCACTTCTTCAAATTTCAACTAGGCTTCAAATTTCAGCCACAACCCTATGTGAAAATGTTTTATTTATATGCATCAATGTACTATGTAAATCATACATGTTTTATGCACAATTATATGATAACAACATATAATTGCACGTTGAATCAAATTCAAGGGAAAATTTGCATTATAACTTTGATGACTAATGGGAATAACTTTGGCAGTGTGGTGAAGTCATCATCACTATTTTTGTCATCATTTTCAACACCTTGCATGTAGGGGTGGACTCGGGTCCGGGCCGTGTCCGGGTCGGGCGTAGGCCCGGGTGGGCCGGCGGTTCAGGAATGGTGGACCCGGGAGCGGCCCGGGTAGCCACCAGGTCCGGTCTGGGTCCGGGCCGGGTCTCCGGTTTGGGTATTTTTTTGTTTTCCTAACCCCCCCCCCTCACCCCCACCCTCCCACACCCCCCCCCCCCAAACCCATCCTAAACATCAAGCCCAACCCGGGTGGAACCCCAAAAATGAAAAAAAAAACAATTTGGCCCGGGCCGGTTCGCCAAATGTGAGACCTGAGCCCGGACCCGCTCTACCCCCTGGGCGTAGGCCCGACCCGGACCCGAGAACCGGGTCGGGCCGGTCCACGGACCGGGTGGCCCGACCCGAGTCCAACACTACTTGCATGTATTCCACATTTTCTTCCTTCTCTTGATGTCTCTCTGGTTCTTGTCATTTCTGCTTATCCTATTCTGCAAACTTTTCCTTCCAAGGAAGAAATCTTCCACTCCTCATACCCATAGTTATAAGTGACATGTTACTCCTTCCTTCATTGTCTTGAAGTCTTCCCTTATTTGTATGGCACCTATCCATATCTATTACGTACTGCTGCAATTACTCAATAAAGAAACATATTGGACAATATTACATTTCCCTGAACACATCTTTTCAACAAACCACTTGCACTCATATTCATTTACTAGTGCACAAAGCCTTCAAACTTTCAAAATTCCAAACTTCAACAAAAAAATGCACTCACAAGTGGATCAATTACAAGAAAGAAAGGCAATTGACATACAATGATCACAAAGTCATGCATTTGATTTATAATCCATGATGCACATCATTGGCTAGAGGCCTCAAATAAGACATATGTAAAATACAATGGAAAACACACATCACAAAATAATGGTCAATGTGCATTGTAGTGAAAAAAATAGGAAGAAGTGAAATACTATGCTTTATGAACTATTATATGTATTCTCCGATGTACATTGTTGTAGAATACTTTGCTCTATGATCCATTCTACTCTGCACCTATTACTATCCCGTCATGCACTTTGCTTTACCCACATTGCAACTCTAGTTTTTTGAAAAAAATTAATTATATTCAACACCATATATCCCCATCTTTCGGTTTTCTTAATATGCTCTATTAACCATTTTACTTTGCACCTTATACTATGGCATCGTGCACTTCCTCATTACCCACTTTACACCTCGAATGTGTGGAATGAAAAAAATTATTCAATAGCATATATCCACAAACTCTCTGAAACAGTGCACGATTTCAGTTTCACCATGCATTCTATGCTTCAAATCTATTCAAACTCAAAGATATACATTCGAAATTAAACACATAAAAAATTTACTACAACATTTTTTTGTCTTACCTTGTTGTGCACAATTTGACCAGGTCATTGCCATGAGATTGCTTTTTTCTTTGCTCGACATCTTCTTCTTTCAAATTTGCTCTCTATTTTCTCTACACTAGGGTTTTCTCTCACACCTTTTTGCTGCACTAAATCATGTTGCTTGATTTTTCCGATATAATGAAACTCGTGCACCGATGTTCTTTTTTGGTAAGCAGGAGTTTCATGGTAAGTTTCTGATAAATGGAAACTCCTGCACCGATAATCTTGCAATATGAATCCCAACCGCTTCACGTTATTTTACATTCATGCCCTCTTTTATTAAAGAGGCTGCACACTTGCCTTTTAAAAACACACGTTTCATTTTAGTTAGGATTAATAATGGTTAATTAATCACCATCCGATTCTCATAATCAAAGGCTATATTTTATTCTTATTTCTCGCCTAGAGAACCTTTCTCACATGAACCAATCCCTATATATATATATATATATATATATATATACACACACACACACACACACACACACAAATGTTCAGGTCAGGTATTCCGGACCAGAACCGCCGTCCGAACGGCGGCGTTTGACCAACTTCTCGGTGGAATTTTTTGATGAAATTTTTATAGCATGTTCTTCATCAAGTCTAGTTTATCCACACAAAAATTCAGCTAAAAATGAATTCCGGAAGGTCGTTAAATAGTTTTTGGAAGTTAACTGCGTTTTATATGTATTTTCCGGAGCAGTTATCTTTCAAAAATCATTTGACGATCTTCCCGGTTGAGTTTTTAGCTGAATTTTTTTGTTGATAAACTAGACCTGATGAAGAACATGCCATAAAAATTTTATCAAAAAATGTCACCGGGAAGGGCCCTAAATGACGCCGTCCGGACGGCGCTTCCGGTCAGGAATTCCTGACCGGAACACTACTATATATATATATATATATATATATATATATATATATATATATATATATATATATATATATATATATATATATATATATATTGTTGGGGACTTGTAACCAAAAAATGTGATTGAAGACTTAAATGATTAATATTAATGTAAAATTAAGTGATTATAAACAAAGGGTGTTTAACTCATTATAAATTTATGATTATATTTGAATGTATTAATATGAAGGGTTAAATTATTTTTAATGATGTATTTTTATTAATAAATAATTGGTGGCTGTGAATAGCAAATAAATTGAGGGTTGTGAACAAAATCACCCTATAAAAAAGCCACAACCTATCAAATTAAACCCACAACCTTCAATATTCAGCAGAAGTACAAAACTAACAAGCGTGAAGTGATCATAATTTTCAAAAGTGTAATACAAACTACTAGTAATTGATAGTGTCATTGAGCATTGGGCATAAGTCGATTTGGTGAGAAATATAATTTTCGTTATATGACTACGTGCCATGAAATGAAACACAGACCCAGCTATGTGTATGCATACATTCCCTGAAAAATTACCTTATAACCAAGAAACATGGGGAAAATGAAAGAGTTTATATGGGAATTAAGTAAAATCAGCAATGAATCTATGTTATGTATATGAGTGTATCCACCTAAATTTTACACATCATAGCCATCCGCTGCAGAACATTTCGGAGCTGCGCATATGCATTAGTGTTTGATGAGTCGTCATATAATCTTCATTGGAACTAAAACAAACAAACAAATTATTGCGTAGTATTATTATATACACAACAGTTCAGATCGTGTTATTGCAGTGCGCAAAAAGAACTCGCTGCACAGAATTTGCTGAAAACTTGTAATGGAAGACTCTGAACCGTCATCATGCTATTTTGACATTAGATTTAAACCGCATCCCAACGTGAAGACATCATCAAAATCTTAGGACCCTCTTTGCTGTGATGCGAGACAGCTCAGCTGATTTCGTCTGCAACTCTTCTGGTTTCCGTCCTGGTACTTTCAGATGCTTGACTCTCCCGATTTTTCCGTCACCCGGTCAACTCAACTGATTTGGTACCATCAACCAATCATAAATTTAATTACACTGGAAATATTAACTATACTTTACGTAGCAAGTCTGCTTCCTTGAGTAATCCTAGTAAATATTAACTATACTCTATAGAGAGTACCATAATTATTCGCCATTTTTGTATCTCAAATGTGAAAACAATAAGCTAAAATCTTGAAAATCTGATACTATTAGAATGTTTGAAGGCATATACAGTGGTCATTTCAAGTAAAAAATGCAGCTCTAAGGCATATTTCAGAGAACTTGATGGTACTACTTCGAAAGGGATAATGTAGATGGATGATGGAACTGCTGGTTAGGAGGATCACCACCATCATCCCAACTACTATATTGTTGTCAGTGGCATGAAATTCATAGGTTGAATTAAATAACCGTCTAAAATTAGCTGACACTCTAAAAGCAAGCAAAAAAGTGGCAAAATTGGTTTGGGAGGATCACTGACTTGTAAGTCATGTTGGGGTCTGACGATGTCTTCATAGAGCCCTAAGCTTTCGTAGATTCAGATATTTCTGTCAAGAGCTTGATCCCTTCATCCCCCCTTTGCAAAGTCATTGCGGCATGCTTTATGAAGTCACTCTCTGCTTCAATGGTTCTCAATCTTTCTCTGATGGATGACATTTCTCTAGCAAGGCAACCATTTTTTTCATATCCTGCAGGCACTTAAGCGAATTAGTGATTGGATTGGAATCACTTAACTGTGTCATAAGGCACTTGAATCAAATCACGCTAAAAAATTGAACCCAATTTATTAGCATTTCTTGATACATCGGAAAGAAACCCAATATATTAGCTAGTTCAACTCATGTCTTATTAACCCATCATTTCTCTGAATTTTTTTGATGTGGAACTCTAACATTGTCCGCAATAACATACCGACTAAACAACAATAGTTAAAAAAGAAAATTGAATTACCCCATCCTTGAGGATCATGCTCTTCCACTCCGTTTGATGTCACTTCAACAAGCGATCCTTCACCCGATGGGACGCTGATTTTCTTTTCAATATTTGACAGCAATGACAGAAGGCGAGACCTCTCAGTCTCTAGAGACGAATCCTCCAAGTCCTCATTCGCATGTGGCCCAGAATATTCAGGAAGTAATGCACGATTGTGATCGGTTTCAATAACTCGGTTTCCGGACTCTGATATCACACTAAAGGGTGAGATGCATTGAGATCTCATTCTCTGATAATCTTCATCAGCATCAACCTCGCATATTTCACTCTCTATATTATAGATCATTGCTCCTTGTGTGTCTCTGTACATCTCGAGCTCGGTTTCTAGAACCTTCACCTCTTCCTCTCTTTTTAGCAGCAAATCCCTCATTACTTGCAACTCTTCTCGGTAATAATCGGCATGCTCCTCCATCACTCTCTGATGCTGCAATGCTTCCATCTGGACAGCTGCCTTTTCAGCCTGCAACCGGGTGATCATTGCCATTGCATTGTTCGCGGCCACAGCTGAAGCACTCCTCTCTTCATCCAACTCCATGTAGAGAGACATGAGAGACCTTCGCTCCAAAAGAACCTGTCTCTTCAGACAAAATACAATGTCATCGTCTCCTTCATTCGTATCAGCATTCATCTCACTGAGATCTGAGAGGAAATCAATGGACATCTTTCTTGACTTTTTATTATTACACCATCTAGGACTAACTTGACTTGAATCTGACAAAGGTACGCCGAAAAACTTGTTCAATCTGCTGCAGCTTGGGGTTTTGCAGACCTCCTCATGCAGTGCCCCAGGTTCTGGAAGCAATGGCATTGTTGTGGGTTTACTAGTCTCCCTAGCTGCAGCAGCATAACACCATATTATAAGTATTAGTCAAAAAAATGTCATTATTTGTCACATTTTCCTAAAATTCTCCTTAAACAAAAGTAATGGACAGCAGTAAAATGAAATATCACCAAGGCCACTGCTACTGCAAAATCTAATCACCTTCACTCTGCACTCTGCAGTAAAATTCACATTTTTGTCCTATATTTTTATTTGAGCCATATGGTGTCATTATTCTATAATCATCCTAAATAAATAAATAATAAAACTAGTAAGAGAATTTATATCTGAAATCCCTCCCGTTCATGTCCATTAACTTTGCAAGAGTTGACAGGAATCCTGAAGAGCAGCCAGCAGCCCAGCAGGTATGCACAACACATTCAACAACTAATAAAACTGAAAACTGTAAGTGTGCTATTTTGAAGATGTTACCTCCATTCAAGTCATCATCACCATTGGAGATCCACTTGAGTTCATCTGTGTAAGAAATGAGAGGCAAGTCACGACTGCCCATTTCCTCAGTATTTGTCATCCAAGCTTGAGGGGTGTGGGGAGGAGCCATGGGGGCTTTTAAAGACTCACTCCTCACATATCTCGTCCTCCTCAGAAGCTCCTCACAACAGGAGCACCTCTGGATCACAGAATTACTTCCCTCATAAGAATCTCTCTGGCAAAGACTTGGTGGAATTATTCTGGGATCTTTGTTGTCAACAGCAAAGCAACAGTCGATATCCTTATGCAGGAATCCCACCAGAGACTTGTAGTACCTGTCACAACTTGTGGCGCTGCCTCCAAAGGAGAGAAGGCACCCTTCGCACATGGTTCTGATATCCGAAAGCATCTTGTGGGCATGGCAATACGCGAGGGGGGAAATGCCCCTCTTGTGATATTCGCAGACAGAGCCACTCCAATAGGAAGTCAAGTTTCTATGATGAACCAGTGAGCGATCTATCCTGGTGCATAGGACGCAGGGGGGTCTTAATTCGAAAAGCTTGGCGAATTCGGTGGAGAAGAAAGCCAGAAACCCGTCAAGAAGAAGCAAGACGATCATGACAAATTCCAGAACAGCGTAAATCAATGCAACCCCGTGTCTGCCCACATTCTGCTCGACGAAACATCTGAACGACAGCGTTGTCATTTTGAATCTTTTGGGGGAGACAAAACATCAATAACGCGCAGAACAAAACCGAGGTAACCCCAGATCATGATCTTGGCCGTGGGTGAGTGAATCCTTGAATTGCAGTAGTTCATGACCCCTCGCTTCAGATTTCACGCAATGTGTGGTGTAGGTTGATTAGGGAAGAAGACGAGAAAGGTGACATTCCCATCGAAACTCGAAAGGGTGCCAAAGAGGATCAGATGGTGACGTGGATTGGAGATATATACAGACAGCTTTGAAGCTCCACAACTCGTGCACCGGACGGAATTGCATGGCGGACATTTTACCAGACATCAACTAACTGCCTAGTGTAATTTTTTTTGACTCCCTATTTTATTTTATTTTATTTTGCAAATGACTCACTCCCTATTTATTAACCATAAATAAGTCTTCTACTTTGATTTTAATTTTCTAGTCTCATCTAGTCTAATAAATGTATAGTCTCTATGTATTTTATAACTCTTCAAATCTTGTCTTGTATAGTATGATCTAAGACTGAAAACAGTCCAAGTAAAAACATCCTTATTAATAGGGATGGATCTGGGCCGGGGTCGGGCCCGGGAGTTACCGGTTCTGAAAAGTGGAGCCCGGTGCTAGCCCCGGTATGCTCTGGTACCGGTTCAGGTCCGGGCCTGGGTCGGTACCCACCCATTTAAAAAGATGTGTGCATTTCCATTAAATGCAAGAATGTGATTGGCCATAGCCCATAGGTATTCACCCCTAAATTTCTTAAGGTGTGAGACATGAAACACATCATGTATTTGACATTATGTAGGAAGTTTGAGTTTATATGCTACCTCACCAACAGCTTCCACAATCTGAAATGGTCCAAAGAACTTGGATGCTAATTTCTGATTATTCTTTAATTGTACTGTTGTATGTAAGGTTGTAATTTAAGATATACCCAATCTCTTTTAGAAAGCAATCGTTCACTCCGCTTCTCATCAACCATTTGTTTCATTCTTGCTTGAGCCTTACTAAGATTTTGTTTGAGCATTTTGATCATCTTCCCCCTCCTTTGCAGCGATCTATCCACAACTTCAACTTTAGATTCTCCAGGTAAATATTGAAGGTACAAGGGAGGTGGTTGATTATATATGTCTCATATAGAGTCATGGCAGCCGATGCTTCAAAATGAGTATTGAACCAACATTCAGCTAGGGGTAACCACAAGCTGCAATCCTTATGCTTGTCATCAGACATGCATCTTAAGTATGTTTTTAAACATTTGTTCACCACCTCGGTTTGGCCATGAGTTTGTGGATGATAGGCATATGAGAGTTTCAACTCCGTTTCACGTAAAGAGAATAGTCCCTGAAAATTTACTCAAGAAAGTCACATCTTTATCCCTTACAAACTCTTGGGCCACCCATGTAGTTTGAAAACATTATCTGAATAGGTTACATTCTCAAGCTTGTATGCTTGGGCAAACTAAGCAATTCCTGATATAATTGCTAACCTTTTTGTTGTGTCCCTTCTAGTAGAACAAATATAATTGATCATAATTACTCGAGAAGTATGGTGCACATTCTTCTCAAAGTTGCATTAGTTTCAATAACCATCTTCCCATTTCTTCTCAACAATCCATTGTGGAAGGAATACTTATCCAGTAGTTGATATTGTTGCAACAACTAGATAATTGTAGTTAAGAGGTCATTCAAAGCATATTTATCTTTAGCTTGTTGTTCCAAATCCGAGGCTAGGAGGGGCACACATATATATACATTATTTCAGCCCCTTGGGCAGCAAAAATTGTTGGAATGGAGTGGAAATTTCTCTGTTGTAATAACCCGTTAATTTATAAGACTCCTTTGATCTGTTCTGATAATAAAATGTTGAGCAATCAGATATTGCTTCCATTTTTGCACGAGACTCTTTCTCATAAACATATACTCCCTCCGTCCCTAAATGTTCTTCCAAATTAAAGTGGCACGGTGAATAAGAAAGTGGGAATTGTGTGGTGGAGAGTTGTGCAGAGGAGAGACAAATGATGTGAACCACAAATTCTTTGCCAAAAAGGGAAAGTGAAGTTCTTTTTGGGACAGACGAAAAAGGAAAGTTGGAAGTAAATTTAGGGACGGAGGGAGTAGTTTCTAAGTTCTCAAGGATCTTCTTATATAGGCAAAATGATGACTTTCTTGCATCAACACTGCACCAACCCTTCATTTTATGCACCTGTCACAACCACAAACACCTTAGGGAAGTCGGATGAGCAGGAACCGAAGCAGAAGTCAATGCAATGTTTAACTTTTCAAAGGTGGCTTACATTATCCCAAACGAAGATTCCTATCTTCACTAGATTTGTCAAGGGTTTACTTATGGCACCATAAAACCTTACAAACTTCTTGTAATAATTAGAAAATCCCAAAAAAAGCTTCTCGACTATTTGCCAAAGATACAAACGAGCCAATTAGTCATTGCATCAACCTTTTTGGGGTATGTCCCAGTTCTTGACTCAAAGATAGAATGCCCCAAGTACTCAATTTTAGGCATCAAAAAGGCACTTTTAGAAGCTTTAGCATACATTTGATTCTCCTCCATGATCCGAAATACCATTTTTAATGCTTCCAATGATCTTAAAGGTTTCTGTTGTACACTAGTATGCAATCAAAAAATACTAACAAACATTTCCTCAATAATGACTTGAATACTAAACTCATCCAACTTTAAAATGAAACTAATGCATTACTTAATCCAAAGGACATTACAAGAAACTCGTAATGTGCCTCATGTATTTTGATTTTCATCTTATGAACATCCTCTTTGTTTTGTTCATCCTTAGTTGGTGATGACCTGCTCTTAGGTCAAGCTTGCTGATAATTATAAAACCACCAAGTTCATCAATCAACTCATCTATGATGGTATTGGGAATTTATCTTTTATGTTCCTCTTATTTAATCCCCCTAGAGCCTGCAATGTTTTGTCTAGAAATCCTAATTCTCATTGAAGGTGACGATAAGAAATCCAAGGAATGGCGGCACCCAGAACTGTGAAAGACATTTATCCTCACTAATTTGTGAAGGCTTACTTTGTTCACCTTAGAGTGGACTAATATTGTGAAATCTGGTAAATTGAAATAGCTTCCTTCTTATGACCCTAATTGGTGCTACATCCGATCCGCATCCATGGTCAAAAAGATTTACCGACGAGGGGGTCTTGGAGTTGGTGCCTTCCAAATAATTTATGGAGGTAACAAAAGAAATGGAAGTCGCCCACATCATTTTTGTAAGAGCAACGGTGTTATTGTCTGTCATATTTTACATCTATTGCAAGCAATGAAGATGGTTGGTTTTTAGCCAAGAGGTGGAAAGAAGATCACATCCAAAGGGCAGCAAGATCTTGATCGGGTTTCTGGAAGGATTGCTGTTTCACCAGTTTAATTACCTTTATGTCATGTGCCTTCAAAAAATTTGAGACATTTTCTTTGAATACTTGTAACACTTTTGCTCTTCTCATGGGGTTTTGTCTTGAAGCTTGAAATATTAATCTTACTCACATCCAACATTATACTTTTATGTGAATGTGTGTAATTTGTTTCAAATGTGCAAAAAAGTTCTATTTTTTTACTAAAATAATGTACCACTCTGAAATCTAACATTTCAGATTCATTTTCATTTCTCTCCTTAGATTGTGCTTTAATTTGATCCAATATGTATGATCTAATTCCGGTGGGAACACCTTTTAACGCGAGAAATGAAAGCGCTCCAAAACAATGCACATTATGGTTCAAGAATGTGCACATTTATAGTTATAACAATGCAAAGCTCAAATGTGCACATTTGTGGTTAAACTAATGCACAATTCAAGTACACAATTTTGTTTCACATAATGCAGAATGACTCAATCTAACGTTCCAAAATCAGTCGCATTTCTCTCCTTATATCAGTTCTCCTTAGGTGTGCCTGACCAGAACCACCATCCAGCTGATCCTGTTTAAGGGCCTTCCGAATTGATTTTTTTATAAAATTTCGTAAACGTGTTCTTTATGAAGTGTAGAACATATATACAAAATTTCAGTTTAAACTGCAATCGTGAAATCAGTTAAATAAATTATTGAAAAACACGACACTTTATACAGTCCGTATACTGTGGTATCGACCCACTATGAGCATCATGCTCCCAGGGATAAAATACGGATGAACAGTACCCACGGATGAACAGTAACTTTTTATTTTGTATTTCAGTAGCACGGTGATGTAACTCCCGTTTAAAAAAACTCACATTGATAGGAAATGTAACTTGAGTCAACTTTAAATGTAAGTCATCTAAAACGAAATATAAGAAAAAACTAGATTGATTTCAATGTAAACAATGAAAAATTGATCCTAATTACTCAGTTACTTTTGAATTAGCGAATATGTTTTATTTTTAATATTAAGGCCATAAAAATGATATAATTAAATAGAATATATATATATATATATATATATATATATATATATATATATATATATATATATATATATTATAAACATTGGTTTTAATGGAAAATCGATACTAATTGATCAATTACTTTTTGTAAATAGTGAATAAGTTTTTTTAATATTAGTGCTATAAAAATGATATAGTTAAAAAATCATTTTTTTATCATTAGCCAGATTTAATTTCGTAGTGTAAGTCACGTACATTAAGATGTAACTCATGCATAAATAGATGTAACTCGTGCATAAGAAGATGTAATTTCATATAATATTAAATGTAAACATTGAAAACAAGGAGTTTAATATTTTTTATTTAATTTGCGTAAATAGTGAATATGTTTTGTTTTTAATATTAGGGCCATAAAAATGTTTTAAAGAGAGAAAATTCCAAAAAACAATTGCCAAAAAAATCTTATTTTACAAAAGAAAAGAATTTTTTTGTTTCAATAGCATGGGTTTATTTTGTGATGTAACTCGTGTTATGAAAGATATAACTCGCATTGATGGAAAATTTAACTTCGATGTATGCAAAATGTAAATTGTTGAGATAAATGCAAATGTAACTCACACATAGAAAGGTGTAACTCACCCATAAACAGATGTAACTCGTGGACAAGAAAATGTAACTTCATATACTATAAAATGTAACTCCAGAAATTGTAACGTAACTCACACATATGAAAAATGTAATCTCATGTTTTATCAAATTTAAATCGAAATAAATAAACTTAATATCGTAAAAAAACTACAAACATATAAAAGAGATCAAAAATATACTCCATATTATAAAAGAAATGTATGAATATGAAAAATATTTTACAAAAAAAAGTGTATAAATGAAAAAAATATTACACCAAAAATAAATTTGATAGTACTTATTTTATGTGGATTAAGAAACTTAGTACTCCGTAATAAATTGATAAAGAAAAAAGTTAATTCAATTTTAATTTAATTAGTTAAAGAAAGAAATAAAATCAAAATTAGTTTTTAGTAATTTCATGGAGGTGAAAATAATTGGAGAAAACAAAAAAGAAAAATAAAGAGAGGAAATGGTTCTCCAAAGTCCAAACAAACCTGGAGGGCAAGAGGAAAAAGAAAAGAAACGTGCGTAATTCTTCAAAAAGGGGAAAAAGGCACCGTATGTGGTACCGGTATAGGATGCACATGGTATACCGGTACCACAATATAATTTGCCCACTTTATAAGTTCAAAATCGTATGCTTTTCGAGTTTTCGCCCCTTCAAATTTGAAAAGGCCTTTGAAGCGCTATGAACTTCATGAAAAAGTACGCAATGTAGAACAAGTAGGGGTGGACTCGGGCCGGGCCAACCGGTCTGGAACCGGACCGGCCCGCTACTGTGCGGGCCCGGACCGGAACGGTGAACCGGTTGGTTGGCCGGTTCAGGCCACCCGGCCCGGTGGGATGGCGGTTCGGGCTCGGGCCCTTCAAAAGGTGAACCGGCCCAGCCGGTTCGGGCCCAGGCCGGACCAATTTTTTTTTTTTGAATTTTTTTTAAGTTTTTGGGTTGGGCTGGGTATTTTGGGCCATTTGAGGTGGTTAGGGTTGGTTTGGGGGTGAGGGGGAGGGTTGGGGGTTAACTAGGAAAAGCCAAAAAAAAAATAGAACCGAGGCCCGACCTGGACCCGGGGGTTACCCGGGCCGGTTCCGGGCCTCCCCTTCATGAAGTGAGGCCCGATCGGGCCCGAACCGGAACCAGTCCATCCCTAAGAACGAGGTTGAGCGCAGAATATCTTGAGATGCTTATATGCTACCACGATTGGTTGAAAGTGGCTCGTACAGCTCAAGAAATTCACCTCATCCCAACACTTTATGGATGAATGTACAACCGAGGGTGGCTCTACCTAAGGATATGGTTGGACTCGGGTCGGGGCACCCGGCCCGTGGACCGGACCGGCCCGCTACTGTGCGAGACCGGGACCGGCCCGGTTCTCGGGTCCGGGTCGGGCCTAGGCCCGGGGGGTACGGCGGGTCCAGGCTTGGGTCTTAAATTTGGTGAATCGGTCCGGCCGGGTCGGGCCCGGGCCAAATTGAATTTTTTTTATTTTTTTTCATTTTTGGGGTTCCACCCGGGTTGGGCTTGATGCGTAGGATGGGTTTGGGGGAGTTTGGGAGGGTGGGGGGTGGGGGGGTTAGGAAAGGAAAAAAAAAAATCCAAATCGGAGGCCCGGCACGGCCCGGACCCGGACCGGACCCGATGGCTACCCGGGCCGGTCCCGAGTCCACCATTCCTGAACCGCCGGCCCGCCCGGGCCTAGGCCCAACCCGGACCCGGACCGGACCCGGCCCGGACCCGAGTCCACCCCTACCTAAGGATGAACTCAGACCGGGTGGCCCGACCCGAAATCGGCCGGGACCGGTACTGTTCCGGCCCAGCCCGACCCGATGGCCCGGTCAGTGACCGGTTCGGGTAGGCCCGACCCGTGGGTTTCCGGTCCGAGCTCGGGTCACCCAAAACAAGGCCCGACCCGGCCAAGCCCGGGCCCGGTTCGGCCCAAAATTGATTTTTTTTTTTCAATTTTTTTTTTTTAATTTTCAGGTTGGGCTGGGTATTTTGGACCATTTGGGGTGGTTTGGGGGGTTGGGGTGGGAGGGGGGTTAATTAGGAAGAGGGAAAAAGGAAATTAATAATGGACCCGGCCCGGCCCGGCCCGGACCCGGTGGTTACCCAGGCCGGTCCCGGGTCCACCACTTCTGAACCGTCGGCCCACCCAGGTCTAAGCCCGGACCCGAGTCCACCCCTAGCTCTACCTATGTCGGAGATTCCGATTGAATGATTGATTAGTATTTATTTCATGTTTTAATTTTACCTTCAATTCTCAATTGTAACTTGTAAGCATGTAGTTCATATTTCAAATAAATATACGTTCATTTTTTATATGTAGCATTTTTTACTAAATTCATAAAATTAATTAATTAATTTTACATTATGTAATTTATTCAAACTAAAACATAAAAAAAATTGAAATCAAAAGCCCCAAACGGCTATATAGCCACTTTGGTAGTTTGGTTGTTTGAAATTTGAATCAATAATTCAATAGAGGCAAAGAGCCGTTGGGGGTGGGGGTGGGGTGGGGTACAAAAAATTCTATAAATACTCTTATTTTCTAACATTTTTATACACATCTTCTCCAACATCCAATCTCTAATCTCCATTCTCCATTTTCATCTCCATCTATTGTAGAATTATTATATCTACCATTTTTAAGATGGAAAGTCAATATGCCATTATACGGTATAATTTTGATAAGCAGAAGGACACGAGGACCAAGATGTGGTACGCAACTTGCAAATGGTGCGTAAAAAAAGTAGCGTGGGGGTTTCAAGCGGATACGGGATGACAATGAATCAATGAAGCATATTAAGTCATGTGACAAAACCAAAGGATCAGGAGGTGCGGGAAGTTCCGATTGATTACAATTTACAAAATGTATTTCATATTGTATGTTTCTCTTAATTTTCAAATGTGGTTCCTATTTCATTTCAAATAAATGCACTTGAAGTTTGTTTTTAATACTTGTATAAAACTATAAAGTATAAATTATATAAAAAAAATTAGTTTTAACCGGCCCAACCCGGCCCGACGGGTGGCCTGAACCCGTGACCCGGGCAGGTGGCCCGGCCCGAAACGGACCCGTCCAAACCTCGGGCCGGTTCCGGGTCCATGAGTTACAAACCGGCGGCCCGACTGGGCCTAGGCCCGGCCCAAGTCCATGCCTACTATGAAGTGTGCAGTTTCCTTACATGCTGTATCAGTGTATCACCCACGGTCCACCTCTGGTTCCTCAGATTACTATTCTTCTTCATACTCTATTTCTAATTAATTTATGTTTATACCAATACTACATAGCACATAAATCAACAGGATAAATATATTATACTACCAAGTATAATATATTCAATTTCTTTTTGCTCTTTTATATTCAATGATTATCGTTCCTGCACAGCATATTCAGCTTCTTTCTGCTCTTTTTTTTTATATTTACAATGGTGTTTTTATTTTCATATGGTCAATCTACAAATATAGGCAGAAACTTGTGGTGCTAAATTGCTAAGGCACATGTTCCATTAGGGAAACATGGAGGATAAATTTGCAAAAGGCAGACACTTGTCATGCTAAATTGCCAAGGGCAAATGTTCCATGAGGGAAACATGGAGGACAAATTTGCAATTTAACTGTATGAGTAAACTGATCGTATTAGGAACATACGCAATGTTATATTATTAGATTTAGATCATTTTTCATCATTACATTCGTCCATCAATCCTTTCTTACAGAAAACTCTTTCCAAACCACATATGGAGTTGACCAGATGAGATGACATTGTATGATTGGAACTGATTTGGAAGTAACATTAAAGAAATAAGGACAACAAGAATAGAGATTGTCCATATAAGATGCTAGAGAAGGATGAAGAATAAGATACTCCCTCCGTCCCTACTTCCATAGTACAAATGGCACACAGATTAAGAAAGTGGAAATTGTGTGGTAGAGAGTTGTGCAGAGAAGAGAGAAATGTGTAAGAATGTGTAAGAATTGCTATGAACCACAAATTCTTTGTCAAAACGGGAAAAAGTTCTTTTTGGGATAGACGAAAAGGGAAAGTTGGAAGTAAATTATGGGACGGAGGGAGTATTTAATTAGGAGTTCAATCCTCTGATAGTACTTTTTACTTTATCCTTTAGAGACATTACATTAAAACGATACAAAATAAGTTAGTAAAAAATAAGTTGGTAAAGAGAAGTTGTGTAGTGCGCACTGTTACAAGCAGCATCACTAATAATTTCCTAACATGCCGGCAATGCATTTGCAGACATGTAAGGTGATATACAGCCCTGCACCTGAAAAAACCCACATGAAATTATATATATTAAACCCTAACAAGTTCATGACACAAATGTTTAGGCAAGGTTAACAACAAAATTGTACAGTAGCTTCTAAGAACATTTAAAACGAGTTTACTTGATGCACAGATGAATGAAGAAAATAGGCAATGCCAAAGAAATAGGGTGCATTCAAAGAGTGAATGGAGTCGCTGTGCCATCTCTTCCCCAGTTAATATCATCTAGAAAAATCTCAATTGCAACATTAAAGATATTTTCATCATGTTTGCTTCTTATTGTGCATCTAACATTTTCCTAATATATCCTTCTTATCTCCTTGTGTGATTGTTAATTTTTGTCAAGATACAAGAAGTGGGCAAAACTCACTTGCAATAAAGGAGTAGGAATTTGGATAAACCCCTGCAGCAAAAGGTTGACCATCTCCAGACTGTCGCGTGGAACAGGGGTAATCATGTAAAGGACCTGTCGGGAGGTATCAATGCCTCTCACAATTCCTGATCCATTATTGAACAAAAAGAACAAATTATTAATTGTTGAAACTTGAAACCTCTATTTGACATCAATCTGGAACAAAAAAATAAATTAGAAAAAGGTCCCTCAGAATTAGATATCCAAAAGTATCTTCTACCAGGTGGATCAAATATCAGCAAAGTGCTTTTTTACAGTGCAGTTAAGGAATAGATACAGATCTTGACCAGAACAACAGAGAATCAGGGTAGTAATAACTCAATAAGAGCAATATATGAGCAGTCAATCAAGAACATAATTAGCACAAGGTGGGGCTATTATTAGCATATTCGATTTAGTAACTAATTTATTTATCAGCTAATTATATGGTATATTGACCTAGTAGACTACAAGTGAATCCTCTTCTAGACGTGGCATGAAAAGTTTTACACAGTTGTACAACATGGTTGTGGGCATGAACTCCCTTTTTGCTGGAGAGTTACTTCGGGGCTCTTGGAGAGTTATCTCTTGAGAGTTGAGAGTCTTGTTCTATTTACTCTTCCAGATTATTAACACTAATAAACACACAGACAGAGAGAACCCGGTTCCAGTGAGAAATGAGAATGATGTAAAACGGTACACTTTTTTAATCATGGTGGTGCACATTTGTGTTTCAAAGAATGCACAGTTCATAGTGCACTTATATTTAGAGAAATGTCAACGTGTTTCTGGTTCACGGCGGTGCACATTTCTATTTTAGACAGAGCACAATTCTCAAATCTAATGCAGAAGATTTATTCTCATTTCTTTCATTAGATCACATTCTCATTTATTCATATTCTCTCTCTATATACAAGTATAAGTATATAGACTTAGGTTCAGATAGAAAAGTGTTTCCCAAGAAAAATAGTACTACGTAATAAATTTGGTACATAAGACTTGATAGCCAATGGCTTTAAATATGCCAACAATGCAGTCATCTAGATAATAAAAATGTGGTGGCAATAGAAAAATAAACCAAACTTTTCTCTCCACGAAAAAGTTCATTAGTTAAACACAATAGTGCATCAAATTGATCCAAAGGTAAAACCATTTACACTTTCCAGTGGAATCGAATCCTATATATAGAGAGAGCAGGGGGAGATCTCCTCAGGCGGTCCGCCGGGAGGCCACCGTCCGGCCAAGGCCGTTTGCGGTTCTTCCTAGTGGAATTTATTGATGAAATTTTTTGAGCATATTCTTCGTCAAGTGTAGATTATCTCCACAAAGTTTCAGCATAAAATTCAATAGAAAAGCCAGTTAAATAAATTATTGAAACATACTTCCATGAGAGATAAATATGAGAATGAATCTGGACCGTTACATTGTATTATGTGAAACTGAATTGTGCATTCGAATGAAACTGAAATTCGAATTAGGTGAAATTGAAATGTACAGAATAAAAGGTAAACTCAAATGTGTATTAGGTGAAATTGAAATGTGCACAATAAAAGGTACAAAAAATGTCATTGCATTGTTTCTTTTATTCTGCACATTTAAATTTCACCTAATGCACATTTGAGTTTCACCGAATGCACAATTCAACTACACATAATGCAACTTTTTGGTACCCTTTGTGCTATACATTACAATTTCACCCAATACATAATTCAGTTTCACCTAAAGCACATTGAATTTCACATAATACAATCTAAGGGTCCAGATTCATTCTGAATTCTCTTCCAAGATCATTTTCTCACTTGAACCTAGTTCTACACATATATTCATATATGTAGAGTAATATTCCGGTCAGGGCTTCTTGACCGGAATCGTCGACCGAACGCCGCCATCTGAGGTGATTCCCAGTGGAATTTTTTGATGAATTTTTTGATATTTTTTTGAGCATGTTCCTCATGAGATGTAGATGATGTCCACCAAATTTCAGCAAAAAAATCAAGAAAGAAAGAAATCAAATAATTTTTTGAATATAACTACACCAAAATATACATATAAACACAGTTATTTTCAAAATTTTATTTGACTGCCTTCCCGACTGCCTTCCTGAACTTTTCTATATATATATATATATAGATACACACACACATAGGGGAGGTTCTTATGAGAACCCCTCTTAATGAGAACACAATTTAAAATATGAACTTCTAATTCTCATCATTCATTTTTATAATCAATAATTAATAATGACGAGGTGGCATTTTTGTAAATATTTAACAATAACTGCAAAAAAAAACATTTGAATTTTGGGTAATTATGAATATGACCCCATGTGAATCCACTAGAACCCTCCCCATGTGAATTTTGGGTCATATTCATAATTACCCAAAATTCAAATGTTTTTTTTGCAGTTATTGTTAAATATTTACAAAAATGCCACCTCGTCATTATTAATTATTGATTATAAAAATGATTATATATATAGGAATGATCCTGTCCAGCCGGAGGTATAGGATGCTCCGTCCGGCCACCGCCATTTGGGGGGTCCCGGTGGAATATTTTGATGAATTTTTTTGAGCATGCTCTTCATTAAGTGTAGTTTATCCACACAAAAAATCCGCTAAGAATTCAATCGAGAAGGCAGTCTAATAAATTTTTTAAGATAACTGCGCCAAAATTTACCTATAAAACGCAGTTATTTTCAAAAAAAATTATGTGAATCCCTTCCCGATTGAATGTTTAGCTGAAATTTTTTGTGGATAAACTAGACTTGATGAGGAACATTCTCAAAAAATTAAATCAAAAAAATCCACCGGGAACCGCCCCAAACGGTGGCGGACAGAGCATCTTGTCCCTCTGGGCTCCGGCTGGACAGGATCTTTTCCGTATATGTGTGTGTGTGTACATATATATATATATATATATATATATATATATATATATATGTGTGTGTGTGTGTGTGTGTGGGTGGGTGGGTGGGTGGGTGGGTGTGTGTGTGGGTGGGTGGGTGTGTGGGTGTGTGTGTGTGTGTGTGTCATTCTATTTGCTAATGCCTCTTTACTTCCTATTAGAAACAGTCTTCGATCCCTAAAGAAAATAAAACAAAGTTTTTGAGTAACAAACCTAAACCAACACAGTGAGGCATGTCTTCTGAATCTACAGAACTAACTGCCAAGCCAACAATGGTCGCATTCAAGCTGTAGAAAACCTCACTCTTAGGCACCTAACACGAAATATAATGTGCATCATCACTCATCAGAGAAGTTAAAGTTTATCTCCTTAATCTCTCTTAATCAGCACTCTCTTTTGCTTGTTTAAACTTGTGAAATAAATAACAAAAACAATGTGAGGGTGCAAAAAAACAAACCATTCAACCAAAAGAGAAGTCATTCACAAAACTCCCAGTTCAATTTCTTCAGATCATTCATAGAAACATATTAGTATCAGAGCAAACCTGGCAGTGAAGGTGCTTAATTGTGATGCTTGATATAGAAATCTGGTAAGGGGGGTGTGCAGCTAATGTGCGAGCTAGTTCCTTGGTTGTGGTGATATTAGCATCACTGGGAAAACACTGTCTAAAATAAGCTATGATCCGAAGGTCTCTAAAAAACGGAGCATCCTTTCCCACCAAGATCCTTAAAAAACACATAGAAATACATATTATAGAAGAGGTGATGCATTTAGTGCTAACTAATCTTCTTTCTTTTCAGGTGACCACAACAGGATACAAATCAAGGTGGAAGTAATTCGTCACTCAGCATATTTTAATAATGCTTTTAAAACTAAAGAAGGAACATACGATCTTTGTAAGGAGTCCTGACGAGCTGAATTGATCTCAATTAGGTTTGTTAGTGGAGCTTCCCCCTCATCCAACCAAAATTCCCCTTCTGGCAGATTCTTACTCTGTGCAGATATGCAAATCTTCACGACATGACTAGGAGATGTATACTTCAGAATATCCACAAGTAACTCATAGCCAATGCCTAGGCTTGCAATAGAAACATAGCAATGCATAAATACTTCTATCAAATCAAGCAAAAAAAAAAGAATAAGCTAAAATGATGGACATAAATGAATTTGAAACAAAGCAAAACAAACCTTTTACCCAGCCAGGAGTATTAATCACAACAGGCATTTCACCATTAGAAGCGCTACTACTATTATTATGCATGCAATACTTTTCCCGATAATGATCGTACAAGGCAAAAATATATGACAGGTAGAGTTTTGGGTCCCTTTTCGATGAAATATCACCAAAGAAATAGCATCTGAGAGAGAAAATTTAAAATGAAAAATTAGTATTGCGCAAGTTAATCCAGTCTTATAAACACAGTTTACTCTCTTTAGTATTTAAATGTGGCACTAGTCTTAAGTCTTACACTCCCTAAAAGTGGACGGCCGCGTTATTTTGAATCTAACTGGTTGCGTAATTGCAATTTGAGTCCCCCTAAACTGAAACTCAAATGCAGAGGCGACACACTTGGAGAACGAATAGTTGGGGTTAGACTTGCACACAAACAATCAATAAACGAAGTGGGCCAAAACCTGTTTCAATACTACTGATAGAAGTTGGGTTACTTAACTGGCCGTTAAAGCACTTAGGGTCCACATTCCACACTAAATGATTGGATTTAATCAATTAGCTAGTTCAACCCAAAATCTTACAAGTCCACTTTACTCTTTTAGCATTCACATACGCATTTTTAGGTCTTAACATATGTAAGTCTCCTTTCCTCACTTTTTTACTTCTAATTAATTATAGCCGGGCCAGTCCATGGGTGGCTAAATAACCAAAATGACATTATTCATTTTAAAAAAAATAAAGCCCAAGTGAGTGCCTGAAGCAATGGTTCTAGTTTGAGCCTCAAGGGGTATGCCTCAACCAATTCTCATATCAACGCTTACAAGGATGTTATGTGACCTTCATCTCCGAAATATTTCACTGTCATATTTTTTCATCCTTTAAGATTTTTGAGTCATAAAGAAAAACATCTCAGTGAACTGTATGCGCTTCTTTATTATGAAGCAGCACTCAGTCCCTGCAATTTTCAAGGTGGTTTTCATCATGGGTCATCCGCAAACAATCTTTATGTGCTTTGGTAGTTAGTACATGGGTAAGGCTGTGTACAACTGAGCCTTTGCGACGCTTGGATAATGTTGTTGTTGTTGTAGGATTTTTGAGTCATACAACATTTCTTAATTTGCAGCCAAGTGCCCAAGTATATACTATCACAAGTGCATAGCTTATGTAAGATTTACTTTATAACAAAGTTCAGGGTCAAGTACCTGTCTGGTGTTTTTAGGCATGGAATTGTCAAATCTGGGAATAAAGTAAAAGAACACAATAAAGTATACTATTAACACGCCTGCAGATTATTCACAGAACAGTAGTGTGCATCAATTCACATAATGATATTACTCGGTATATGGAATACCAGCAGATATTTTGTCTATTATTGTGAGTGACAGAAAACCAGGGGGTGTAAACTCTGATTGTCCAACGTCAGTATCCAAATAAGCCACTTTTTTGTACCTGAAAGGCCAATAATAATAAGTAAATGTTCATGTTTAAAAAATAATAACGTCAAATGATACAAAACCTACCACTTATCAGAAAGTGACAACTTCCACACCTAAAACATTGTGGAGTGCTATCAACTATCAAGGGCATAAAAGATTAAAAACTCCACATCTAGCAAAAGCTTTGCCTGTGTATGTCCCTACATCTCCTCCCATTAATTAACTCTTCACTATTGAAAACATACAAGCAATAATCTCAAATGACTGGCAAATACTCCATTATCCCTAGCAACAAAATATAGGTGATAAGGAAGGACATTCTATAAAGATATCGGCAGTCAATTGACTCAATTCAATAAGAAAACTTAACAACTTCAGAGCATTTCCACGCACCACTGTTAATTTCACGTGACTGGACTAGAAAAATGCTAGCACAGACCATTTCCAGCGTGTCACTTAATTTATTACATCAAAAGTTCAAGTAAGTTTACACGCATGTTTGTGCTGAAATTTAAAGCTCAAACAACACTTCACACTTGCAATTATTATGTCAAATTGTTTCACTCACTTTAAACACAGCGCACAAAAAAGGCAAAAAACGATTCACAACATAATAATACAGAGTATTATAATGCGAAGGTTAGTACAATGAAAAGGAAAAAAGGACCTTTTAAGAAGAACGTTGAGAAGGTGGCGGGAGAACGTAGTCTTGCCACAATTCTTGGGGCCGCAAATCAAGGAGACTGGTGGGGGCAAAGAGACAGAGTTATGGGCTATGGTTTCTGCGGCGTCGGACCATTCGTCGGGTATGGCTATATCCGACGACGGAGTTTCAATCTCCGACTCTTTACCCATCCCTATTACTCCAAAAGCAGTCCCTGTACTCTATAAGAGGAAGATGGTACTGGTCGTTCCCTAAAATGGCGAAGTCTAAGTTACAGACGTGCGGTAAAGGGGAGGGAGGGGCAGCGGAACGACCCAACGTCGGATTTTTTAAAAGGGGAGGGAGGGCAGCGGAGGGATTTAAGATTGCAGATCAACTTAGGATGCAGACCAGACCGTAATTTGTTGGTCTGGTCTGGTCTGCTCTGATCTGGTCTGGTCTGGTCTGATCTGGTCTGATCTGGTCTGGTCTGGTCTAGTTTCTTTGTATCTTTATAACTATCCAAGTCTGGTCTGGTATGGTCTGAACTGGTCTGGTCTGGTCTGGTCTGATCTGATCTGGTCTGGTATGGTCTGAACTGGTCTGGTCTGATCTGATCTGGTCTGATCTGGTCTGGTCTGGTCTGGGACGAATTACAGTCCAAGTAAAAACATCCTTAAATAGACAGGAGCACCTAAAACTTGGACGATTATAAATTACATACAGACCAAAGTAGGGGTGGGCATGGTTCTGTCTGATTCAATATTTTGCCGAATCCGTACTTATATTGTGATTATTGAAACGGTTCGATTCAGTTCAGTCTTAGACCTAAACTCGTTCGGTACTGTTCATTTTTAGCAATCACATTTATTATATAAGCAACTCGGCATTGCAGTATGACATAGTGGAACAAAGAATATACTCCTTCTGTCCTATTGGACTTTGTCAACTTTCCCTTTTTTGTTGTCCTAAAAAACTTTGTCACTTTCCTATTAAAACAACTAATTTGTGGTTCTGCACATTTCTCTCTCCACTGCACAAATCTCAACCACACGGTTTTTACTATTCTTATTTCTCACCTACTTTGCACTTGGCAAAGTCCACCGGGACGGAGGTAGTAATTGATACTATGCATTTATTCTCTCAACTAAACGTGAGTTACTGATAGAATATGTACGTTATTATACACGCTCATTGCGTACACTATAAAGTAAAATTTCAATCTCCAAGTTATGAAAAGATAGTAGTTATTTCTTAAACGTAATTACTATCTATATGTGCGATAAGTTACTACCTTATGTGGCAAAGTTACTAATTTAAGGTATCTATATTGCGTACACACAGACTTAGCTTCACGTTCAACGCAAAATCATCATTCGATATGTGAGTTACTATAGAAAATAGTATTTATATATAAAATTATTGAATGTAATTATCTGTCATAACAAAGTTAAATAATTACCAATGGTCGTAACATAGGTAGACAGAGTTACTACAGCTTCATTAGTGTATAATGTATACTCTTCCATCATATAGTCACTTATCAACTTGCCATGTATCCCAATCAATTCAAACAATCAAAACCGTAAACAAATATGCACAAGTAATTTATAAACATTGATCAATCTTCAAAATAATATCTTAGCCTTCACTTCACATTCATCATACGTTCCTCCTATCTTTTTAAATGGATCTTTGGGACTCAGATTAACTGTCTCCCACTTCCGCACATTACTAATACACCTTTCCAACATGATGTTCGTTTTCTTCGCGATCAAGCATCAATTTCTTCCAATAATTCCTCCAAACTGAGCATATCTATTTGTTCTCTTCATAACTGTTTGGGGGGGGGGGGGGGGGGGCAACAACGCCATTTCCATCTTTTGTTTACTGGTCTCCGTATGTCTTTGTTATTATTGGTCACTTTTTCGCCAAGTTAAGTTATTGGTAATATATATGTACGTAACTCATTTTATTATCTAAATATCTAATAAAGAGTACAACAAAATATTTAAAGTAAGGCTATGTTCGGATGACGATTTCAGCTTAAAGTGATATGAAATCCGATAGATGTAGACACTCAATTGACATGTAACATGATTTATTTGAATGAAAAGCTATGATTTAACATTAATCAAATGATTTGGAACTTCACTAATTATTATAACGTTTTATTTTAGCCATTTTATTTACCGTGAGCTTATATGGATTTTACCTACCCATTGTTAAAATCTTATTTTGTTCGCATTAACACAAGTCTTGCCCTTTATTAAACGAATTGCTTGTGTACACATAAAACTAGTGGTGTTTGTGTACACTTTGTGTAAAAATAATGTACACTAAGAATTTTCCATTATTTTAATGGTTGTTTTACATAGCTTGCTATATTATTTTAAAATCTAAGAGCCTATTTACTAACAGAGATATTTTCCAGTTTTTCGGAAAACTAGAAAAGTGAAAACAGAAAACGTGTTTACCAAAGAAAATTGTTGGAAACTGGAGAAAGGAAAACGAAAAAATGCGTTTACCAAATCTTTTTCCTAAACCAAAAAATGAGATATGTCTCTCTTTTCCTTAATGAATTAGAGAAGTGACATTTACTAGTTTTCCAAATTTGGAAAACGCGGATGCTGCAGTGCTGCTCTAATTAATTTGCATACTTATGTCTAGTGGTGGATCTGGTCCCGCTTCGGTGCCAGTTCCAGTCCGTTCAGCGACCCTACGGTCACTATCTGATCCGGTCAACGATCCGGCGGCCGGGTCTGGTCATTGGCCCTATGGTCCCTGTCCGGTCGACGACCGAGCAATCCTGCTCCAGTCTGGCTCAGCCGACGACCCGATAGTCCTGATCCGGTCCGATCGAAGACTCGACGTTCCTCGTCCAGTCCGGTCCACATCGACCCGACAACCCCTGTCCAGTCCGATCCGATCTCGTCTGGTCAACGACTCGGCGGTCTCCGTCTAGTCCGATCCACGTCTCGATGGTCCTCGTCCTATCTAGGCAACCACCCGGCGGTCCCCGTCCTGTCCAATCAATGCCCCGACAGTCCCCATCTTGTCCGGCTAATGACCCGACGACCTGATCGACAACCGGGCGGTCCCGGGCCAATCCAGTCAACGACCCGACGGTTCATGTTCGGACCGGTCAGTGACCCGGCGGTTCAATCTCAGATTTAAAGTGAAAATTTTTTAAAAAGCCGTTGAGTTGTCAATCAATAGGAAAAGAATTCGTCAAACTAGTCGTTGAGATCGATCGGGACCGGCCAGTTCTGATCCCGACTTTCCTATACATGGGACCTAGTACCCTACTTGAGTTGTACTACATTTGATTTAGGAATGAGATTGTACTTAAAGTCTTCAGGTCAGTCACATAACCAGGTGAAAACAATTGATGAACATGTTTTCAGATTTGGAAATAAAAAACTAAAAAATGAAAACAGAAAATTGAAGATAGAAAAACTGGAAAATGAAAACAGAAAATTGGAGAACAAAAAATAGAAATAAAAAACTGAAATCCTACTAAATCGGATCGTAACCCTCACCAGAAATAAAAAACATTTGACTAATATTTTAAAACTAGTTTTATAACGCGCGTTGCGCGTTCGTGGTAATGCCCAAGACAATTGTAGGGATATTAATTCCTTGGTTTAGGTTGAGTAACTATCAATTTATTGTTTTACTACTTGAACTTGATTAGTGTATTTTTTTTAGAAGAGTAAGATAAGTGGTAATACGTTCGCGTAGCACAATTCTGAATGCATCTCATTAAAAATAAATAAACAAACAAACAAAAACAAAAGGAATCAGATTGAGTCTTTTCTTTTGTTACAGAATAAAATTGAACCATATTTCGATGTTCAAGGGGAGGTGAATGACTACATCTAGAATGGTTGTGCTAGAGCAAGAGGATAATGCCTTTAAGATCAATAACTCACGAAAGCTTTTGGATTCGGTTCAACAAGAAATCCCCTTGTTTAATACTTTAATGGTGGTCGTGGCCTGGTATAGGGCATTCTTAGCATCAGGGCAGTTTGTTTCTAACATTGCAGCAACTTTGTCGATCTTGCAACGTAGCTTATCAGCAGCAATAAACTGAGAGAGCTCGGTATCAATGAAAAGATAACCAAACAGTGCATAAGAGATAAAAATCTTATGGTTGCTCCTTACTCTGCCTTTCTTTGTATGCATTCTCTAAGGAGGAATGGAATCCCTTTGCAAGAAATAATTAACTAAACAAAACCTGCACCAACAAATTAAATAAAGCAAATATGACAACAATAAAACAATCATCACACTAACCCAAAATGAACCACAATAAGTTGTATTAATAGAATTCCGCAAAGAACAAGGGATTCATATGAACCACAAGGTATTCATATGAAAATAAATCATAATAGTCCAGCTATTAGGAAATAGAAAGATTTCCATTTTATAAAAAACAGTAAAATAAACCCTTCCAATCAAAAATAGTTGCAAAACTATGAATAGGGATTTCGTTTTCATACTAAAACAATTCTTTGAATAAACTTGTATGCTAGGATTAGAAATACCTTATCACCCAAAGGGAGTAAAGCATAGCATCATTATCCTCATCAGCCATCTATTTGCATCAGTTTGATCTTTTATATATCTAAAAATAGAAAACAAATTAAAGTATTATCTCATAATTGTATAGAAAACTTCTTAGATCCAAAGCTCTGTCTTTTTAACTTATACTACTATGTATAAGTTATGTAAAAATGACAGAGGCCTAGCTTCCATTACCTGGTTAGAAATATTATGGCGTGCTCTAGCTACGGAAGACTTAGAGCCGAAGCTCGATTTCTTCTCATTTTCAGGAACTCTTCGTTTGATTTGAATAGAGATCTCTCCCTTTTTCACGCCTTGGAGGGGAACCCACTTTTCAAAGATTTTGTTTCGGGAAAATCTCGGATTAAACGGATTCCTGTTCAAAGAGTGCATAACCGCATGGATAAGCTCAGTTGTTGAGGCTTGAACTCCTCCTTAATCTGGTGAAGGATGTAGCCTTGAGAGTAAGGACATTCGGGTGTTCTAGCGCTTAATCCGTTACAGCAACTTTAAAGATAGGAGAATGAAATTCTTTCCAGTCGCCATATGGTTCCCTAAGGAGAAGGGGAGGACCCAGCTCCAATCTATTGATTGCATCTCAGAAGTGGTGGACCCAGAAATGGTGTTCCGGGTTAATCCGTTACAGATTCTCCCACAGCTTCAATCTATTAAGTGCATACATCCGTAAGTAACTTAGTGCAACATGGCAAATTTCATTGAGAGGAATCAGCAAAGAAAAGAAAAAAAAACACTTCAAATGTTAAAAAATGCTGAATCCCGCTTGAATCATCATTTATTTAT